CATAAAAAGTTAACAGAGTTGGATCAGACTAGGAAACAGTAGTATTAAAAAGTGCTCAATATATGCGTGAAAAAAATAAAATAAATGTAAAAATAATATGTAGAACTTTTAACTTTAAAAATCAGGAGATCAGTTGAATCTGATACCTTGGTTTCAACTTTACAGTATCCTCAGCTGAGGATACTGTAAGGTTGAAACCAAGCTAGTGGATTGAACTGATCTCCTGATTTTTAAAGTGTATATATATATATATATATATATATATATATATATATATGATGGCTGTTGATTTGTTGAATATGATTGTTTCCAACACATTAATATATAATTTAAAACAACTGTTGCATTAACACCTTACTTTGTTATACACAAATTTTACACTCAATTATAAATATCTGTCACAAAAATACATTTATTTGATTAAAATTATATCCAAAAGACATTACTATGTACAAATTGAAATATTATGCTACTAAATTAAAAATAAATATTAATTATGATGTTTATGGAATTAGAAAGGTTTGTATGTATTTTACGCATATGTGTGTGTGTGTGTGTGTGTGCTGACTTATAAGAAACAAAGAAGAAGCATAAAAACTTGGGTTTCTAATACAGACAGTTTATTCTTTTTATGGTAACCGCAGGGGAAACAAAGTTGTAAATGTTTCTTGGGAATGTTCATTTTCATTTGGTCCAGAAGTTATGTTAGGTAAGTATAAGCATGAGCTCAAGTCAGCCTTGCACAGATTTGGAACAACCAAATGAAGGTTTGTACTTTATCATGGGGGTGGGGGGATTAAACATGATTATGGGATGCCTGTTTTATTTTTCTTGGTTCAAAAATTATGGTAAGTAAGGATAAGAATCATATTAATGGTTGCCATCAAGTCACCCTTGTGCTGGAACAACCAAAAAGAAAGCTTGACTTATTTAATAGGTTGAGATTTTTGGAAGACATGTGAGAGCCCTGTGCACTGGAAGAGAGTTCAGTAGTCAGTGGACTGGGGAAACTAACATACCCCAGTAGGAATGTAATTACCAAGTTTTGCTACATCTTGGAGCAAAAAAGGGGAAAGAGCATGGGGAAGGAAATGTTTACCTTTGTAGAGACTTCAACAGTACAACCTAATTGTGTTTTATGAAGCTAAGTGATATTGTAGCGACTGCTACACTTACCATACCCACAATTTATTTGTCTGCGATTGGCTAGTAAATAGATACTGCTTTTCCATAAGACAATTTAGCAATCACAGTCACCATTTTGAATTTTCCTGCCATGAACTTGTTCACATATGTCTTTGATACAAAATCAGTGATTGGTTAAATTTTAACCAATCAAACATTTTTGTGCTGAATCTATTTTCCCGCATTGTCACCTGGAGCCTACCAGTAGCTTTATAAACAAGTGTTTTGTTTCCACAACTTTCAGTAGAGTTCAGCTATTTATGCCTGTCTACACAAATCCACGACTTTACTTGCAATGCACACACACAGATTTTTGTATCACATTACACATATTCTTCCTCTCTGTGACTAAGCCAAGTTCATGAACCAGCACTCTATATATTTCTCAAAACAAAACACTTCTTAATTGACTGTATTCCTTTCTACACCAGACTCTATTCAACATAGAATCCTGAACATTCTTATTCAAGAGAAATTCTTTCGAACATTCAATCTTATTCAGAATACAGTTAAAGGGAAGCAACTTTTTCTCCCTTAATTACTACACAACATTACATGATTGTTTTGTATGTTATTATTTCAATATATATTTTATTGTTGATGCACAATTGGAGTTTTGTTGTTTTTTCTTGAATCATTAGATGTATAATAGATAAATGCTCTTAGAACACGCAATTACATTTCATAACCTCAATGCATAAAGCAAGCAGCATTTACAATATAATCATAAATCTGGTTCCTTTAGTCTTAGCATCATGAGAAAATGTATTTAATTTTCCTTTTTTTTTTTAATTATCATTATTATTATTATTTTGTTCATCAATTTTATTACCTTTTCACCATGTGTTAAAGAACAAAAAAAATAGGATAAAAAAAATGAAAATCATTGAAATGTGCACAGGTGTGGATGTTTTTAAATACAAACATACAGGGGACTGTACCATGAATCAGAGCAGGGGACACCTATGCAGTTTATAAAATGAACAGGTAGACTACCCACAAAATGATTTGATCATATTGTTGGAGGCTTGTGTAGAATCAGTCACACTTTTCAGAAGGACTGAAAATAGAGTTATGGTGTACAGTATGCCACAAACACTCCGAACAGCCCTCCTCACGTCAGAGTTTTCCTTCTAGACTGTCACCCAAGACAAGATACATACACACAATATTATATATGGATATATTGTATATTTGGGCAGCAAAACGTGTATGCATTTCTTATTGGATATGACAAAGAAGAAATATTTTGTAAATTTTTTTATTCAGTTTTTGTTGTGTCCTAACAATTTTTTCTTCTGAAGTTTAAGTGTGTATAGGAACTGTTCATACTGTTTATTGTCTTGAGAGCTTTCAACTAAATCATTAGCCATTCTTTCTTTCAAAGGTTAAGAGTGTATAAGAATTGTTCATACCGTTGTCTTGAGTGCTTTTAGCGAAATCTTTAGCCATTTTTTTCTTTTGATGGCTAAGTGTGTATAGGAATTATCATTGACATTGAGATCAACACTGCATGTTGACTACCAGTTTCACATCTTAAGTCATTATCAGATCATTGGTTTGATGGTTGATTTTGGTGTGAAACAACCAGCCAAAGTTGATTTCTATGTTCCCCAGTAAATATAGCTATATATATATATATATACACACACACACATACAAAGTCAGAGCTCTGATATATGGATGAGTTTAATACACCATTAATTCTGAATTACTTCTCTTTAATCTCACTAAAGTTACCTCTTAATTGTTTTTTCATGTTTTCAATAATTTCTATGGATTCTCATTAAATCAAAGTTTGGCCATGTGACCATTTGGATGTAGGTCAGCTCATCGGTTTCCCCTTCTTTCCCTCTACCCAGCCTCTCCCTACCTCCATAATATAATTCCTGTAATGGTGCTGCCTTCTCTCCATATCTCCCACCATGTCCCTTTTAACACCCTCCCTCTCTTTTTTCTCCCCAAGCCAGTATCCCACTACAAACTGATACTGTAAAAAGGTTGAAAAATCCCACGAATTTTAAAATTAAAATTCATAGGTGAAAATGAGCATTAACTAAAGGTATCTTAATTCCAATTGTAAAGAAAATTTTCCTCTGTTTAATGAAAATGAACATTAAGCACCCTTTGTGAGTCATTTTTAACATATTTCAAATTTATATTGTATTAATAGGACTTGCCTGGATTATATCAACAGATTACTACCTATATATATATATATATATATATATATATATATATATATATATATATATATCAGTATCAGAAGTAAGTAATTTAAGTTTCAAATACATAGTGGAGGTTGACTTGGAGTTTTATGATTTCTCATTAGTACGAACCTAGACAAGAATAACTGTATTAATTTGAATTGACCCACAACAAAGAAAAAGTCAAAAAAGGTTTTTAAATATAAAAATGAGATTTTTATATGCTTCTTTACAACTAAATTTTTTTTAACATGTATGAGTCCTAAAGTTCTTACAGTCCTTGTTTGTTAAGATGAAAAGAAATGTGATTTCTTCATGTGTATGTGTGAGAAAGAAGAGGCAAAAGAGAAAGTGAGGAGGAAAGTGTAAGTGTTATGTAGCTTGGTAAGGAAGACTAGTGAATGAGTAAGGAAATTCCTTTTAAATGTCGTAAAATGTTGTTGTCTCTCTTTACTGTTGTTTTCATCGAGAAACTGCATTTAAATACCCTTTTTTATTGCTGGTGGGAACATAACTGGTTGGTTGAAAAATGTTAAATATTTATTTTCAAAGAATTAATTTATTAACCAGAAGAATGTGAAATCCTTTGCATTTTTTGTCATTTGGTGTTTGTGACTGTCTTGGCATTTTCCCCTCTTCGCTCCACATAGCAATAAGTGGCAATGCTATAAGTGTGTGTGTGTGTGTGTGTATATATATATATATATATATATATATATATATATATATATACAATTATTTATTTAAAAATATGATTCCATCGCTACATAAGAGTTCTCATGTTTCAAAACAAGAGCCAAAAACTTCAATATATTTAATTGAATTAAAGTACCAAGCTCTGTTCCATCTTCAAGCAAAATTTTTTTGGGATAATTCTTGAAATTTATGCGTTTTTTTATAAGCATATTCATTATTAAAATTACTATGGTAACGGCTAGAGCAATTATTTAAAAAAAGGGATGTAAAGGTTAATAATTTGTATCAATATCTCAGTTACATTCAAAGAGGTCAAGTCAGCATAAGGTTGGGGTGTCTAAATTTAAAGCGGAAGATGACATCGTCTAGTCTGGTTAAGTGTCTATGGAGATTTAGTTATTTTATTGTTTCATAAATACAAATTTTAAACTCCATAGTTTAAATAAAAAGTTTAAAAGCCCTACCCAATAATAATAATAATAATAATAAAAAACCCCTTTATAAAGTCGTCAAAAAAAACAAAAAAACAAATGTTAGCTAATTATGACAGTTTTTTATATACACAAAACCCTTTCAGGAAAGAATATGAACCTAATATATTCAGTTCATAGATGTATCTAGCAACCTAATATATTCAGTTCATAGATGTATCTAGCAACCTAATATATTCAGTTCATAGATGTATCTAGCAACCTAATATATTCAGTTCATAGATGTATCTAGCAACCTAATATATTCAGTTCATAGATATATCTAGCAACCTAATATATTCAGTTCATAGATATATCTAGCAACCTAATATATTCAGTTCATAGATGAAGTTAGCATGTGTAAATTATTTTTAGTTTAAATATTTTATATTAATAAGGATTTGCTTTTTTTAAAGATTTAAACAACTCATTAATGCCATACCTTCATTCCGGCACAAGACTTGACTGGATATATAACTAAATCAGAAAGAATTCTTCGAGTTGTACTGGCTGGAAAATATTTTTCTTCAATATCTGGAGAATGTGATATTGAAATAATATCTGAAGAAATTTCTTTTTTAGCCTCAAGGGAAGTGGATGGAAGTTCCTGGCAAGTTTTGTCTGCAGGTAAATGTGGCAAAGAAAGAGAAGTGGGTTGAGGTACCAGGGAAGTAAAATCCACTTGTTTATTAATGAAACATTTTTGGATGAATTTTATGCATTCCTCGGCATCGGATTCGGTGGAACTGGAACCAAAAGAAATTCTCACAGCACCAGTTGGATAGCCATCTACCATATCTTTTTCATCACCACAGACATGTCCTGCCTGGATGGGGAGAAGAAAATAATAAAGTAAATAGAAAAGTTTTAACAAAAATTGTTTTCCAATATAAAAAAGAAAAAAAAATCTGCTAAAGAAAAGATGATTTTCTGTCCGTCATACACTGACTGCTTGTGACTTTGCATACATATGTGTCATGTAATTATTTACCTGACCTCCCCACTAAGCCAGGAGGTGACACAAAGGTGATTTTTATGTGGAGAGTGATATACACATATACATATTCATATGGACAAATGACAAAAATAAGCAGGACTGGACCTTCTTCCATCTAAAATAAAAAAAAAAACATTTAAAAAGCAAACTCCTGTGCCAGGCATGTATGTAAAGTATATGCGTATGTTGTCTGTGTTGTTTGTGAGTGACTTACATGTGCTTAAGCCATTTAATGTGTACACATACACTATAAGACACTGGAATAATATATTCCCTTTCCACTAAATCTGGACAATCCTTTTCCTTGTCTCCAAATTCTTTAATATTTTAAACCTTGAAAAAAAATTTAGATAATTATAAAGTTTTATTGAACTTTTCATAAATTATCCAGTAATAAATAGTTTTATTTTTCATAATTTTTTGGTTGGTCAGTGAAATAAAATAAAATATACATGAAAAAAGAAAAAAGTATAAAGCAAATTGAGTGGCTCTTTGGGGTCATTTAAAATGAGAAGTCATTTTTATGACTCCTTCTGTATTTAAAACAATGAGTCATTTTTATGACTCCTTTTGTATTTAAAACAATGAGCCATTTTTATGATTCCTTCTGTATTTAAAAATGAGGAGCCATTTTTATGATTTTCTGTATTTAAAATACATATTTTCTAATATATCTAGTATTTTAAACCATGGACAAGCAATTATGATTTGAAATTTGATTGCGTTCTGTCAGTAAAGTGACACATGCTGAATTAGTTGTCATAATAATAACTGGTTATTTGGTGTTCAATATGGTATTGTTATTAACAAGCAAATCAAGCAAATGTGATTAAGTTTGATCCACACCAGGGACTTGTATGATTAACTCTTTTACTGCTTTATTGTGATAGTATTGTTGCCTGGCTGTGCTGGTCTGTTTTGGGAAAAATAGGAAATTGTTATTTACTGGAAATAAATGAGTATAAAGATGTTGATGCCAATTTCTCACGGATGCTGCCATTTTGGTTTCAACTGGTTACACTATAATACAGATGACACAAAATGACATCTTCAACATAGATAATAAAAATATGCCACCAAACAGGTTGTATTGATTGCTAATATATTTATGCTGCTTTGGGTTGACTGAATTGTTTTTTATGGCTTATCAACCTTTTGCAGGTTATTTAAAACCAGAAAATATTTTAGATTGTAAGAATTTTTTGGAGATAATTTTTCCTTGTGAGCTTGCAACGGGCCCATCCCCATTTTTGCTGTATAGCTACACAAATAAGTATAGAGATGCAACATGGGGTACTCAGTTGGTAGGTGGATAGTTGGGTAAGGGTCTCATTGTATGTTTAAAAATTTACTTATATTTTAAAATGGCACTGCAAATATAGCTCAGAGAAAAAGTTCATTATAAAGTAGGGTGTAAATAGGTCATATATCCTTGATCCTGGGTATGACGATAAACTACGTCCAGCAGCAAGGCCTCTGATCAGGAGGCTTTGAGGAGTGTGGAACCACCTCTTAATTGCTGGTGTTCCCAGGTCCACCCTGACCTGAGGTGGTAGCACCTGTTAGGGTCCCACATATGGGCAAATAGCTGACACCCCACAACCTGACTCAAAACACTATGAAAGTGTAAAAATAAATTTTAATACCAGAAATACTGTAAAAAAAAATTAGTATCAGCAATAACTATTTGAAAAAAGAGAATATTACCAGAAATAAAAATCTTGTCAGCATTAAATTGAGGTTAATATGCCACAAAACAAAACAAACTATACATTTTTAAAAAAAAAATATTACCAGCTATACATTTTTGAAAAAAAAAAGGAAATTTTGTTAGCATTAAATAACACATTGTGGTTGATATACTGTAAAACAAAATAAACCTATCCTTGATAGTGAAAGTATAACAGAAATTTAGACTATTCAAGGTCAGATTAAGGATTGATTTTCCTATAAAATTATTTGGATGTTTAAATCTTAATATTAGCCACTTGCTTATAAGAAAATATTCAGCAGCCAGTGTTACTCAAGTTAGGCTTTTCTTCACTTCCTGACCATCAGGCTGAAATCAATGTGTAGTAGCTGTTCTCCTCATCTCTAATGATAATATTAGCTGTTTCCATAAGTCAAAACATGTAGCATTCTTTGACTGAACCACTAATATAACTGTCAGTTAAAATTTATAAAATCTCAGGAAAATAGGATTCTTGTGTCTAGTAACTGTTATTGCTCTTTCAAGTATTGATAGGGGTGTCCCTTCTGAACCTTTTGCTTGAAGTCATGCAGAACTACCACATCTTGATTATGTCATTATTTTCTCTTTGAGTTATATGAACTATTCATTTTTGTTGTTGTTGAAAGTCCTCAAGTGATGTGGTTTTTGTTATTTGGTACAGTTCTTTGCACTTCTGTAGTGCCAGAGCACAAGGTTCAAAAAAGGTTTGGTTTGTTTGGGTTTATGGCATATCAACCTCAATGGGTCATTTAATGCCAACAACTTTTTTTTTTTCCTGGTAATATATTTGTTTTGTCAAAAATTCTTTTACTGTTAATATTTTTTTCCTCAAAAATGTATAGCTGGTAATATTATTTTTTCAAAAACATATAGCTGGTAATATTATTTTTCAAGAACCTATAGCTGGTAATATTTTTTCAAAACCTATTGCTGGTAATATTTTTTTCAAAAATTTTATTTTTTTCTTCAAAAATTTATTTTTTAATAATTTTTTACAAAGTATTTCTGGTATTAAAACCTATTTTTACACTTTTAGAATGCTTTTTACCACAGTTTCGGCGTTAACTATTTGCCCATAGCTGGGACCCTAACAGGTGCTACCACCTCGGTCAGGGTACACCTGGGAACACCAGCAATTAAGAGGTGGTTCCATGCTCCTCAAAGCCTCCTGATCAGAGGCCTTGCTGTTGGACGTAGTTTATCGTCTTACCCTAGACACGGATGTAGTTTATCAACATACCCAGGATGTGTTCAAAAAAGGATGGTCCTTACTAAGACCTACAGGATCCATTTGTTCAAATACATTTTCTGCTATTGATCTGAGAAAGATGACAGTTAAGATATTTCTGAATGAAATTGATGTCATGCATGACATCCATGTGAAAGTCAATATCTGACTATTTAAGAATAAAACTCTTGTCTAAATGCTTTGGTTTTGTAGCAAATCGTGTTTGGTGAAAACTATCTTGAGTACAGTCTCTATTCTATTTACTCTTAGAAGTAATTCACCACAAATTTGTCCAATAAGAATTTTGCATATAAAAAAAAAAATTAACCCATAATTCTTTAGATTATTGATGAAGATTTGTAGAACACTTAATCAGTTATGTGCCATGTGTGATACACGCTTAGGTGATCATGTATTTTTCGATACATGACTGACAAAGCAGTTTTCTTTCCCGTATTAGGCTGCCATTTCTTTCTGCAGTAGACCAAATGCCATCCAACCCTATAGAACCCTGTCAGTCCTGCTATTTACCCATAGCTGGGGGGTTGGGGAGAAGAAGAGTATTCATATGTTTCCCAAGGGTATTAGCACGTAAGTGAATGTAATGGATTTGGGTGGTATTCGAACTCGGCTCTCTAATTCCTCAATTGGTGCTGCTATCCATTACTCCACCATGCTTCCCTGAAACTATTTGCTTTGTCAAAAATACGTAAGGGAATGTAATGGATTCAACTGGAATTCGAACTTGGCTCTCCTATCCTGACTATGTATATATACATTCACATAAACATATGTATGTATATATCAGTCAGTTATGTGCCCTGTGTGATACACGTTTAGGCAATCATGGATCTTTTGATACATGACTGATGAGGTAGATTTTTTCCCGCAGTAGGTTGCCATTTCTTTCTGTGGTAGACCAGTTGCCATCCAAGGCTATAGAACCCGGTCTGTCCTGCTATTTACCTATAGCTGGAGGGAGAAGAGGAGGATTCATACATTTCCCAAGGGTATTAGCACATAAGTGAATGTAATGTAGAACACTGCTGGTGCCATAGAGAACTTGTTGCTGGTATACTGCTGTGGGAACCAACTCATGGCAAAAGTGGTTGACCAACAAAAATTTTTTTCAGTTATGAGAGGATACAGAGTGTAACACTGAAGAACTGCTGATCATCAAGAGCAATGGACTTGATGTACTAGGGGTTGCATATATTGTGCTCTGAGTTTGCTCTAGGATCCTATCTACAGTTATAAAATTACATTAGATTGAAAGAATCTTTTTTAGAGAGATAATGATTTAGTGATACAAGTCTTACTAACTAACCCATCTTGCTATGGATTAATTAGTAGGACTTATATTAGAAGAGAAGAGAAGCCCATCTTGCTACGGATTAATTAGTAGGACATATTAGAAGAGAAGAGGTGAATTCATAGCTTTCTCAAAAGTATTTGTGCATAAGTCAATGGTCTGGAGCACCTTCTGTTTGCCTCGGGGTTCTTGATAGGCTCCAGAGGTGGATATGCAATATAATTGGCCCTGATCTGGCATCTTGTCTACAGACACTTTCTCACAGATGTGCCGTCACCTCTCTCTGTCTGTTTTACAAATACTTTCATGGCAATTGCTCCGAGGAGCTGCATTCGCTGGTTCCCAGACTTCATGAGTTCAAGCGCCCAATGAGGCTGACATCCTGCTCTCACCCCTTCACGGTCGAAACTCCTAAATATAGCCATCTCTTATACTCCAATAGCTTCATGTCTCGCACATCTCGCCTGTGGAACTCCATTCCCTATTCTAGTTTCCCTGAGAGCTATAATCTCCAGCTATTCAAATGTAATGTCATTTGACATCTCCAGTTGCTTTGA